CATTCTTCTAAGAGCTCAGATAACCAAAGAGAAGCATTGCTACAATCAGTCCTGTAAGGTTGGTCATCCCGTAGATGGTGGGAAGGTAAATCATGCTTTGCCATCAGAGTTGTCAATAAAAATTTTCAGGGGACGAAAAGAGTCCCAGCCCCCCACTAACCAGCTGTGCTGGCCTCAGGGTGGTCCTGGCAGCTTTCTGACACCACACTGTCGCATGCTGAGGCCACCTGTCCCCTATGTGCTCACATACATACACATGTAAAGTAGAGGTGGTAACAAATGCCTACAATGTGTTTATACAGATTAGTGGGATTTGGGGACTTGGGTTTTGTAAGAGTAGCCTCAGAAGCTTGGGAATCTGGGCACCTCATTGCTTGTTGACTTTGAAACAGGCAGGGCCTTATGGAAGCCTGTCCTTGCCAAATGGAGTCAGCAACAGGGCCTGGGGTTTGGGGAAAGCGTGTCATTTCCAGACGTGCAGCTTACCTTCGTAATTGTATTAAGAAAAATCTCCTGTATTTGAATGATAATAGGAAATATATACAACCACCTCCTCCATAGCTGTGAGTCAGAAAACACGCAGCTCCATAAAAGACCTCCATGCTCAGCTTGAGGGTGACTCTGCAGAGAAAATGGCTTCCACTCTCTACCCAGAGCCTGTCACTACTTCTTTGTCACAGACTTTACAAAAGCAGCAGCTGTTTCTGGAGACCATCTTGGGGTCTTCCTTTCTTCCATTTGTCCAGAAGGGACAGAGCCAAATGGTGACGTCAGCATCTCTCTCACGTGTCCGCATGGTAGTCTGCACACAGCATCATTTTTACAGACACATCAGCCTCCGTGGGGTTTCCACCATGTACAACTGTCACCATGTACAACAGGATTCTACATAAGTAGGACACAACTTTAGAAAGATGAGAATGTTTACCCAGCACAGGATTTTTTTGCCACAGGAACCTTCCAGAGCCAACATCCTGAGAATCTTCACCATGCCTCTGTGTGGTTAATTTTTGAAGAGCTCATTAGGCCAAGATACACCCCTTCACTATTGCCTACTTATGATGAATTAGCAGTTCCACGGTTGTGAGGCAGAGAGAAGTGATAAACAGTAAACTGGATGGATTGACTCTTGGAAACCATAGTGTGATGACTTTAGCCACCTGCTTATCTGAAATCACAAAAAGAATAGTCTTGTGGTCTTAGAATGCACAGAAATGGGGGACAAGGGCTAAAACATGCCCCATTTACAATTTTCCTTAGGCGGTCAAGTCTTTGGTACTCTAATGGAGGACCTAGGGAGGTGCAGACCAGACATTTACACTCCAAGCTGGCTTGTTGGCTCTGCTAAGCTCCAACAGGCAGAACTTGGTTTGAAATGTTTCTCTGGAGAAGCAAATGTCTAAAACATTCTTCTAAGAGCTCAGATAACCAAAGAGAAGCATTGCTACAATCAGTCCTGTAAGGTTGGTCATCCCGTAGATGGTGGGAAGGTAAATCATGCTTTGCCATCAGAGTTGTCAATAAAAATTTTCAGGGGACGAAAAGAGTCCCAGCCCCCCACTAACCAGCTGTGCTGGCCTCAGGGTGGTCCTGGCAGCTTTCTGACACCACACTGTCGCATGCTGAGGCCACCTGTCCCCTATGTGCTCACATACATACACATGTAAAGTAGAGGTGGTAACAAATACCTACAATGTGTTTATACAGATTAGTGGGATTTGGGGACTTGGGTTTCGTAAGACTAGCCTCAGAAGCTTGGGAATCTGGGCACCTCATTGCTTGTTGACTTTGAAACAGGCAGGGGCTTATGGAAGCCTGTCCTTGCCAAATGGAGTCAGCAACAGGGCCTGGGGTTTGGGGAAAGCATGTCATTTCCAGACGTGCAGCTTACCTTCGTAATTGTATTAAGAAAAATCTCCTGTATTTGAATGATAATAGGAAATATATACAACCACCTCCTCCATAGCTGTGAGTCAGAAAACACGCAGCTCCATAAAAGACCCCAAAGCAACCTGAAAATGATTCTCACCAGGCACTTTAATTTCATAAAGGCAGAATCTCTACTAAGCAGAGGGTGGATGGTGGGATTCCACTGTATCTTGGAACAAAGCACATACAGGATGGGTCTCCATGCTGTCTTGGCCAGTTCTCATGGCTTCTGACTAAATACCTGACCAAGCAACTTATGGGAGGAAAGGGTTTATTTTAACTCATGTGGTGGGGAAGGCATAGTGGGAGTAGCTCATAGGTGTGATGGTGAAAATGTAATGAGGCTTGTTTATGTCTGAGTAGATCTGGAAGTAGAGACCAAATAGGATCGGGACTATACACTTCAAGGCCCGCCCCTTAGTAGCCCACTTCCTCCGGCTAGGCCCCACCCCCAAAGGGGCTGCATCTTCCCAAGACAGCATCACCAGCTGGAGACCAAGTGGGTCAAACACTTGAGCATATCGGGGACATTTACCACTCAGGCCATAAGAAGAAACTCCCATGGGTTAACTATCACAGCGAGCCCTCGGGTGCCCAACGTCTGCTCTCTCTGTCCTTACTGCTTCCCCTCATGAAGTGTCAAAGGCTGCATGTGATGGTTAGTGTTAGCTGTCTATCTGACACAACCTAGACCCACCTAGGGAGAGAGTTTCAATGAAGGACTGTCCAGCTCAGGTTGTCCTGTGGGCATGTCTGGGGGACGGTCTTGTGGGAAGACCCAGCCCACTGTGGGTGGTATCAGTCCTAGGTTTGGAGCCCTGGACCATGGGATAGTAGATAAGGCTAGTGTGCATTCATTTGTGCTCTCTCTGCTCTTGGCTGTGATGTGACTAGCTGCTTTGAGTTCTTGCCCTGACTTCCCTGCAGTGACCGACTTCACCTGCCCTGGAGTCAAATAAATCCCTTCTCCTCTAAGTTGGTTTTCGTCAGGAAAACAGTTCAAGAAGGTGGATTCTTTCTCCTTCAGTGAGCTTGGAGCCTGCACTTCACCCACTTCATCCAGGGAGGTAGACCTCCTGCCATCTGCCTTCCACTTTCCGCTTCCCTCCTCCAAGTAGGGCCTGACCATTTATCCCACTTTTCAGAAGGGCTTGGGGCTGCTAAGCTAATTCAAAATCTCTAGTAACAATCTCCCGCAGGGTGGGGGTCAGCCAGTCAGCCTTGACCCCTTTTGGATACAGACCTGTTTGTTTTGTACCTGTCCAGGACTTCTGGGCGCAGAACTCAACCTTCTGCTCTGACACAGCAGGCTGAGTGGAGTTGAGAAAGGGGAAGTGTCAGATGGCTCACATTTCTTTTTGTTTTCTCTTGGAAACAGAACCAAAGCTTAATTGTGGTATCAGGTGCTCTAAAGAAACAAACTGGGGAGGAAAAAAAAATAGATTCCATTTTCAGGATAGACTGCATACGATTGAATTGAGATTGTAAAGGATCTTGTAAGTGCTGTTTATAATGTTTTTACCCCCCACCCCAGGACTTGGTGCATCTGTCTACACTGGCTCCACCCTGGTCTTGAGTAGCTCTTAAGGAGTGCTTATCCAGAATTAGGTCTGAGTTTTTATGCAAGGTTTCTTCTCCCTCCCTGACTAAAGACTTCAAATATTCATAGATTTGCTTGCCCAAGACCTGGACAGGCATAGCTGGCACTCAGTTCTGGGATTTTCCAGGAGCCCTGTCTGGGCCGGAGGCTGGGGTGGGGCTCTAGGAGGGGTTTTATAGTAATGTCTTCTCCTTCCTCCCACAGCTTCCCACCTTTCTGAACACTGGTGACATTTCCCCTTAACTGGGAATATTAGTATTTCTTTCTCTTTTCTTCTACGTCTTCTTTGAGTCCTGGCTCTGAAGCTCATAATGGTGCCATATTCTTTCCTTCATGACTGACAGGATAGAATGCAAGCTCACCTATAGAGTTGTTTTCCACACTGCAAATCAGTAGCTGTGTCTTCTTCTCTGGAGGGGAAGACATTTCTCAGTGGCCTTCCTCTGCCTTCTTAGATAAACCTGCCTGCTTCTGTTAAGACAAGACACTGAGCTGGATATGTCCAGGCATTCAAGAAAGGATGGCAGCTTCTCAGATAATGCCCTTTTGCAACAAGTGCTCTAGAAGAACAAATGAGTACAAGACCCTTAGCTAAGCCTCAGGGCCCCTAGTCTCCGGGCATTCCAGTGCAATGGGCTTTCTCAGCGGTTGAAAAGGTTATATGCTGTCTTTTAAAACATGCCGTTTTAGGCCAGGTGTGGTGGCACACACCTTTAATTCCAGTGCTTGGGAGGCAGAGGCAGGTGGATCTCTGTGAGTTCAAGGCCACCCCAGTCTACATAGCGAGTTCAGGCCAGCTGGGGTTACAGAGAAAACCTGTCTCAAAAAGACCAAAAAAACCAAAAAATGCCATTTTAAGTGTGCGGTATAGAAACAGAAAATGATTAATGATAGGCACTGTATTCTAGTTTTGTTTCTGTTGATGACATAAAGAAACGACTTTATCTCGGCTTTCAATTCCAGGCTGCCGTCCATCGTTGTGGGGAAGTCAAGTCAAGAGCTTCAAATAGCTAGTGACATCATATTCACAGTCAAGAGCAGAGAGAAATGAATGTGTGCACGCTCATTAGCTAGTCATTCAGCTCAGGAGCCCCGCCCAGCTATGAAATGGTGCCACCCACCTCAGGGTGGGCCTTGCCTCCTGAATTAACAATCAAGACAATCCCCCACGGACATGCCCACCACAGGCCAACCTGATCTATTCCTTCTTCCTAGGTGATTCTGGATTGTGAGAATTTAGCAACGTCACAGATGCTAACATTGCACTTCTACCCTGCTTGACTATTTCTGAGACCAGCTATCAGCAGATCAGTTGTCTGGGCAACCATTATACTAAGTCCGGCAGCGTGTGTCACCAGCTGTGGGTGGGATAAGGGAAAGGTCACAGAGCATGTTCTCAATCCACTTCAAGATTACTCTGGAAATATGTGCTCTGCTGCACCTTCTGAAATTTTCTTTCTGTTTTTTCCAGATAACTTGTTCAAACCCAAAGAAAGATGCATTTCAGAGAAGGAGATGCATATGCGATCTAAAAGGTACTTGGTTGTGTGAGGTGTGAAGGAACTAGGGAGGGAGGGTTGAGGGATCCAGACGCTGTCTTAGGGGCCACAGCTTCCAGGCCCACATTTAAGATCTGAGGACTTCTTGGCTAAAGATCTGAAAAACTGGTTGAGGTGGGTGAAGTTGTTGAATTGTACCTCGGAATGTTTGTGCTGCTCTTGGACCAACCTTAGGAAAGTGGTAGGTCTTGGATTCCAGAGCAATCCCATAATTGGTCCCTGAGCGTTCAGCAGACTCTGAGCTGGAACTCTTCAGTGCATTTACCTAGTGGCTCTGGGCAGGAGCCATGCACTGCTGCGCCTTTGAAGGCGATTTTATGAGGAGGAGTGTAACTGCTCCTCTGGAGGGACTTGACTGCAGCAGGGTTGGAGGAAAAGGCTCCAAGCTGGAAGCCAGTGGCACATGGGAGCCCAAAGGGACCTTGGAGGGGCCACAAGCCAGCTTTCTTGGCGCTGTCTCCAGCGGTCCCGCGGGGTCCCCGCACTGCCTGACCTCTCCTTGCTTTGCCTGCCTGGTAGCTATCCAAGATGCCCATTAATGCTTACCACCCCGGGGCACACAAAGGTTGCCATTCTTTCTAGGACCTGGCCTCTTAACCAGGACACAAAAGCTCAGAAGGGTTGGCCGTGTTCACGCCCATAAAACAGCATTAGGTTGTAATAAAGTTACCTAGCCCTGGGAAGAATTATAGCAATTAAATCACATTGATAGTGCACTCAGAGACACCTGTGAAGTAGAGGAATCTTTAGGTCCCCATTCAGGCCCCACATCTCTGCTTTTACCCTGATTATGTTGTTTCGATGATAATTAGGTAACTTTGATTATCTACAGGGAAAGGCTCTGAAAGTAAGAAACCAAAAGGTGGCGGCCTTCCCATTCACGGCCTGACTCCAGCAGTTAGCCAGGGCTTACACAGGGTTTCCGCATTTGAAGACTTGCTGTTATTTGGTACCTTGTACCAAAGCCTTCTATCTTCAACTGAGTAAAAACCAAGCAGACCTTCCCTGCTTGCTCCCCAAACCCGAAGCGGCTATTACAGAAGCTTGCAGTTAAAACCACAGACCTCAAAGCAGCATCAGTAACTAGAACATTAACCTAGTTACTCCGAAGAGGAAACTGAGGCTGGAGAAGAGAGGGCTAGATAATACTGCATCCTCAGCCTGTAGCTGGTCTTCTCAGATAGACCAAGCAACTAGTTCCTCTGGAGGTGCCTGGCTGGGCTTTTACTGTCCCACAATCATCTGTACCTACTCTTTCCTTGTGTTCTTTGTTATGGATTATGTTGTTTCGATTTCCATTTAAATCAAATACTGCAGGTAAAGCTGAAGCCCTCTCATGACTGATGGCCCTGCTCTCTTTGGCCAGCCCAGACCTGGCTGCTGGGACGCCCTCAGTCTGTTTTCTTTCTCTTTTAAAATAGCTTCCCATTTGTGCTTGAGAGACGTGTTCTTTAACTGTAAGCGCTCCTGTCCTGTGTGTCTGCCGCTTGCCTTTTGCTGTGTAATCTGTGAGCCTTAATGTATCAAAAGATGCAGATTTTTATCCTTGGTCTTGACCATCTATGCAGCATCCTTTGTATGGGTGCACCACGATTTAACTTGGGGATCTTGTTGGAGAAAATACTGACATGCCAGAGGTGGGACCTGGGAGCCTGTGTTTCCATCTTTCTGTTTGTTTTGAATGGATGGCTTCAGAAGAAATCTCTGATTTGAGACTCCCCACTTGAAAGCTTTGGGGCCAGTTCCCTTGTGGTCCTCTCTCTTAGTCCTTTTCAGAATCTCTCCTGAGAACAGCGGTGGTGCAGTTCAGTAATTCACACATCTATTCAACCCTTGCTGATGGCCACGCTGTGCCAGGCACTAAGACAGGCCCTTTCAGGGCCTCATGGGCAGCTGTGTGCTGGGCACAGTGTTGCACAGCAGTTAGGAATCATGCAGCGTGAGGTTTCAGTGCCCGCTGAAGGGCTCTACCTAAGTTCTTTGATCTTGCTGGGCTCATGTAGGGCCCTGTCTGCCTCTCCCAGCCGTCATGAGGATTGAGTGAGCTAACTCCTGTCAGGCCATCAGCCTGGTGTCACCAGCTTTACTGCCGTTGCTCTTTTGTACTTTGCACTTGTGCTTTTAATGGCAGAACATATTAGAATTTATCTGGCTTTCAACACGACAGAAAATGAGAGACGTTTGAACTGGGTGTCTTGTGTGGTTCAGTGACCCCCAGCCTCAGGATGCAGTGAGTCTGCCGTGTTGGTGGAGAAAAGCCAGTTGGCATTGGTACATAAGCAGTTTGTGTCAGGACTGAGGGAGCGCAAATCCAGACAAGGGAATCTCAGGCCCTGCTGGTAACCCTGAAGCTCCTAATTTTACATAAGGACAAGGAAAGTGTACTCATGCCTGGAATGTATTTAGAAATAGCTCAGTCAGGGGACAGAGAGGTGGCTCGGGAGTCAAGAGCACTGGCTGCTCTTGCAGAGGACCCAGGTCTGATTCCCAGCACCCACATGGCTACTAATAACCATCTGTAATTCCGGTTCCAGAGATCCAATGCCCTCTTCTGACCTCCATGAGCATTGCGTGACATGGGTGCACTTACATACATGCAGGCAATATGCACTCATACACATAAAATGAAACGTAAAATAGTGTTAAAAAGAAATAGCTGAATGAGACATGCAATAGGCTGAGAGGAAACATGCGTGGTTCTGAGTGTTCCCTTCTAGCCAGCACAGAATTCCCAGTGAGCTCTTGCTCCTTTCCTAAATCACAAGACGTTGAAAACTTGATGGCAAAAAATCGTATTTAGGGAAAAGTTTACATTCAGAATGACAAAGCAATAGGTTGAAAATCCCCCATTTTATAAATAATTATCGTTGTGAACATGGAGTTCCGTACAAGCACCTCGCCCCCCAGCTTGCCTGTCGCAGTGCTCAGGAAGCAACCATGAGACACTGTTCCCTGCCAGGTGCCTGTGTCCTTGGGATGTCGAGGAAGTTCTTCAGGTGTCTCTCACCACGTGGAGGGCCGAGCTGCTGACAAGCCAGGATGCCTGCCACCCCAGGCACCAGCTTCATGCTGTCCTTCATAACACTCTCCGTGTCTGTTTCAGAATCTATAATAACTTGCCAGAAGTTAAAAAGAAAAAAGAAGAACAAAAGAAAAGAGTGATCTTACAGAGCAACAGACTTCGCGCTGAAGTCTTCAAAAAGGTAACGGCCAGCAAGCCCGGTGTGGGTTGTGCACAGGCGGGACCGTGAATTTGATGTCTCTGTTTCCTTACTTCTCCAGCAATTACTGGACCAGCTCCTTCAAAGGAATGCAGTCTGACCCAGGAGGCCCTGCTGACCATGACCTGGACGTGGGAAGACTTCAAAGCAGGATAAATCATTAAATTTAGCAGTATCGTCACACGTGATAATGTTCACTTTACTTTTGATTTTTTTTTTCCACAAAGGAAAGATCAGTTCCTGAATGACCCAGACAGACACCAGCTATATTGCTGAAGCGACAGGTCGACCAGCAGTCTACCGCTGGGGAACCAACCCCACGTAACCTAGTAGACTTTAGTCCCTTTCCCCTTTTGGCTGCTGGATTTTACGTTTTTGATGTTTTCACTCTACTCTGTCAACCCAAGCAGAAAAGCCATATTCACTCAAGTATGCTTAGGTCAGGAAGGGGTGTTTTTTCTTCAAACTTTTGGGAAGCCAAAATCTATCATGTTTTGACTCCCAGTACTAATGGCTGTTCTGCAAACTTGAAAATGTGGGTCATAGTCTGTTTCACAGACGCATCTTATAATACTAGAGGCAGACTTTGAAATGGGCAAGCAAAATACCACGGAACACCACACAAGTGGTGGTGGTGGGGTCTCCGCAGCTCTGCAGTCCTCCCCCGCCCCACCCTGCCTTTGCTTGGCCAAAGTGTCTATTTCAGGGGGAGCTATGAGGACAGAGGGCCGTGTCTTCAGCACCCCCCCCCACCCAGTTACCTTGATCAAATGGCCTAAGGGTTTCCTCTCATTGTTCTTTGAAGCATTATTTATAAATGTGTATTTGGGAAGTTAAGAGCAAGCTAGTTTTTTCAACAAAAAGTGGAAATAAATACAATTATTCAAAAATTCAAGTATTTCTCCGTTCGTTGTGAAATGCTTGCAGTAACCACAGGGTGGTGCTGCCCTTCTCCTCCACCACTTAGCACCATGGAAGCCTTTGTGCTTCCACCTGTGGGGACTGTGGGCTCTCAGGAGCCAGCAGGAGAGAAGCAGGGAGGACTATGGCAAGCATGACGTGGAGCCTGCGGAAGCTGAGCTCACACAGCCATGTCCCTAGAGCTGACAGTTTTGCAGGATGGTACTTCTGTCCCTTCCTGAGGTTGCTCCCTTCCTCCTCCGCTGTTGCACCCCCCCACCCCTCCACCCCACCCTCACACTCTCCTGGAACTGTCAAACCCTCCCGGCTCAGCTCTGCCCTCTGTACAGTTAAGTGTCTTTCTTTTTCTTTAGTTTGGGGGTCGGGGCTTATATTGCATGCTCATGTGTGCTGGTACATGTGTGGGTATGGATGTACATGTGTGAGGCCTGAGGACAATCTCAGGTGTCATTCCTCAAGCACTATCCAGTTCTTCAAAAAAATTGAGACAGGGTCTCTCACTGGCCTGGAGCTAGCCAAGTAAGGCTAGACTGGCTGACTGGTGAGCCCCAAGACTCTGACCTGTCCCCCCATCTCTCCAGCACTGAATACAGTGCCATGTCTGATTTGTTGTTGTTATTGTTGTTTTGTTTGTTTGTTTGTTGACAGGGTCTCCCATAGCCCCAGCTCACCTGGAATTCACTATGTAGACCAGGCTGGCCTTGAAGTCACAGAGATCTGCCTGCCTCTGCCTCCCAAGTGCTGGGATTAAAGGCATGCCTCACCCACATTCGGCGTCACACCTAACTTTCTAAAACTGATTTCACTTATTTTATGAACATGTATGGTTGTTTTCCTACATGTATATGTGTATCACGTGCATGCCTAGTACTGGAGTTACCGACAGGAAGTGAGCTGAACCCAGGTCCTTTGCAAGAGCAGCCAGTATTCTTAATTGCTGAGCCATTTCTTTAAGCCTCCCATCACTTTTTAACGTAAGCTCTGAGGCTCTAACTCAGCTCTGTGTGCTTGCCCGAGCTCTTTACCGACTGAGCCATCTCCCTGGACTAGAGTTCTCACCTTCATTATGCCTGTCCTGCCCACAGGAGGCAGCCTGACAAAACCATCAGGACCAGAGGCTGCCTGGATCCTGATCTCATAGCTGCTCCTGGTCTGTGGCCTCAGGTTGAGGTGCCAGTCAGCATCCAGCCAGGAGAGAAACTACATGGTAATCTGAGACTGTTTAGTGACTTAAGTATTAACCATATAGAGATTGTCTGGTAAGAGTTAGGACAGCTGTCTAAGTACAAGTCAGAAATGAAGGAGCTGGGCGTGACTCAGCAGATGATGGAAAACTTTTGGTGCTGCCACACCCACAGAGCTTGCTGAAAATCCATCCCCTGAAGCTTGCCAGAACCTGACCTCAGAGATATACAAGGATGGTCTCCTATGAGCCATACCCCTCAGGCCCCTGTGTACTTGTACTTTAGGGCCTGCCCTGCCGCTGAGCTGTATCTCTCCTGAGCCCCCTACTGACAAAGCTTGACATTTCCCAGAAGCCAAAGGGGAACTATTCAAAGGGCTTGGCTCCATTTTAGCACAGCAGAAGGAAAGGTGGTTTTGGAGGGGGGAGGGGAGAAAACGAGGAAAAGCTTGTGCCTGAAGCTGTTTAGCACCTCAGTTTCCTCAGCTGATAGATGCAAGGAATTACAGTGCCGGCTTCATGGGGTTCCTATGGAAACAGAGCACAGATGATAGTGGAGTATGTGAAGGATGCCCAGCCCAAAGCAAACACACCAGGAGCGTTTCCTGGCATGAGCAGAGCCATAGCAGAAGCGCATGGCCAGGAGGTGGCGTGGCACTGAGAGGCTCAAAGGGCCACGGCTTCCACAGTGCTGCTGCCACCCAAGTCTGTCCTGAGAGCAGGAGGCATCATCTTGAAGTTTGGAAGCAGGCTGGGGAGATGGCTCATTAAAAAGGCACTTGCCCCAAGCCTGAAAACCTGAGATCAACCCCAGGGACCCACATGGTGGGTGGGCTGGGGAGAGCTGACTCCCACAGGTTGTCCTCTGATCACATATGTGCTATGGCATGAGTGCATCCACAGGCATATGCATACAGAATAAGTAAATAAATACACGCATTTTTTTAAAAAAAAAAACTTGATGATTTGCTTTGGATTTTGGAGGTATAGTTTCATGAAGCCCAGGCTGGCCTTGAACTCCTAATCCTCCTGAGTCTCCTTCCCAAGGCCTTGGCTCCTCATCAGCCTATCTTCTCCTATTCTCTCTGGAAACTTCCGAGAGCTTTTCCCATCTGTGGGTTCAAATTCGGGACCCACTCCCCCAGAAAGCTCTGTGATGCTTCAAGAAATAGGTTTGTGCCAGCTAACATTTTAAAGAGAGCATGCTAGGTGGAACCCACTTTTTAAAGAGTTCATAAAACAGTTGCCTTCACTACAAACCTCCTGCCAAGTCCTAACATTTAAAGAAGAAGTAGTCAAACTAAGACTAAATGACATTTAATAATGTGTTTCCAAGGATGGCTCTTACCCAAGGTCCCAGAGCTGCAGAGTCAGTGGGGAGGCAGGATGATGTCTGGTTCGGGGTGATGTTTCCTCTGGCCAGAACAGCTCAGGACAAGCCTGGAAGTCAAGATTTGGTTTTCGTTTGAACTTATTTTCCTATCGTAGAATTTTTTTTCTTATGCTGACAAGTCAATCTTAGATATTCAGTGTTTCTTTTCTGTTGTAATAAGGTAATAAAAGGACATAGTAATATACTAATGTTATAATAAACATGGAAATCAAGGCCCACATAGTTAAAAACAACCATTTGTTTGCCTTTCCTTTGGAACTGACCACCAGTTTTATTAAAATCAGACCTCAGAAAACACTCGGAGGGTTTTGAAAATTCTAACTAAATTTTGCCATAGTACTTTAATAAGTGAATTCTTCTCTGGCAGTGGTTTATTTACATCTGAGGATGTTTGGGGTCCAGCATGGGCACAACTCTTCAGTGATGCAGTATATAGTGGGGGTTAAGGAAAAATTACAGCCGAGATTCCTGAGTCTGGACCAAGCATCAGTCCTCCGAGCTATCCAGGTGGGCTGTGTCCTGGTGGTCCCCATGACTTCATGTTGAAGGAGTGATTCCTATTTTGGTTATGTGTCCTGTCTGCCAGCTGGTAATGGGATAATGGGAAAACAATTGGCTTGGCTCTTCAGCCTGTGTCTACTGCCAACCCAACTTCCTGGAAGTTGTGAGCTCCCTGGGTGAGTCAGCAAATGCTTGCTCAGAGGAGTAAGGCTCTCAGCGAGAACCGCTTGTGAGGTGACCAATCATGAGCGAGTGGTGGAGAACTCTGTCTCATGAAGTTCCCCCTTTCAACGCTTACTGGCAGAAAACGCCACAGGCTATGGGATCTGGCCTCTGAGTGCATCTGATGATCCACAGTCTGAGTATGAGGCACAGCAGATGCCAGGTGACAAGAGAGGGAGGGATGAGGATGTGTCTGCTCAAGGAGGGTGATCTAACCCTTGGTACATGAGAGTTCTGTATTCAGGAAATAGGAATGTGGTAGAGAAACATCCACTGTGGTTGTGGGAGACCACTTGTATGCAGGCTCAGGGCAAAGGAAGCGATCTGCTAAGTGATTAAAATGTACTGATCAGCAGATGGTTCCACCTGATAGGTTCTTTGAATTTGTGCTTACATCAATATTTGATCTTTGTGCAGCTCTTTAGAAACCTTTGAAATTGTCACTGGCAGAAGCAGGCTGGTCCTAGGCCAGAATCGCTTTGGAAGCCCCTCCGACCTTCTCGTCGTGTCCCATGCTGTTGGGACATTGCTGACTCATCCTGGGACAGCAGGCTGCCAACAGCTCCTGGGGATTCTGTGGGCTCCCCTCTCCCCCACACTCCTGTGGCTCCTCCACCTGGGCAGATGTCTTACGTGGGCTGTAGTAGTGACAGCTTTGATAAGTCTTTCCAAGAGCTCAGAACTTTGCTTCAAGTTACATCCCTTATTTCAAGAACAGATCTGACCGAGTCCTGTGAGGTTCTTATGTGGACCGTGTGTGCAGAGGAGTGAAGGGGACATTGAAATTGTTCTATTGTTTTTCTTGCTTCTCTGAGAAGATTCATGGACATATTCTGGATGCCCAGGGCATCGTGAAAGAATGCAGCATTATTCTTATAAAACTATGAAAGAGGGGCCAAAGAGGTGACCCAGTCAGGGAAGTGCTTAGCACACGAGCATCAGGACCTGTGTTCTGCCACAGAACCCACGTAAAAGCTGAGCACAGCTGCACATGCCTGCAATACCGGAGCTGGGGAAGAGGAGACAGGAGGCTCCCAGGGCAGCCAGCCAGCTGGTCTAGCTGAGCCAGCGAACTTGGGTTTAATGAGAGACCCTGTCTCAAAAAATGAGGTAGAGGGCAGGTGAGAAGGCCACCTAGCTTCCACATCTGGCCTCTACAGGCACTCACACATGTACACAGAAACCATGTACATGTACATATACACAACACGTACATGCACATACAACATGCATACACAAACACATATGTATGCATAAACACATGCACACATACACCCATACACAAAGGCACACAAGCACAATACATGCATGCATACATAAACATATATGCACTAACACAGAGTCATGAACATACATACACAACATACATACAAACACATACAGAGGCACATACATACACATACAGACATACACAGAAACACAATGCACACATACACAGCCATACACACATACCTGTGCACGTTCTTACACATGTACACATGCATTCAGACATATAACACAAGCATGCAAAGTTAAAAAGCAGAGGGGAAAGATCTGTCTGAGAGAAGAAAAGGATGAATTCCTTTCAATAGTTATTAAAGAACACCAAGAGTGAAGGACTTCAGAGAGAAGCGTCCTCTGGAAGGCAT